CACCTGCCCAGGGGTGGCACCACCCACAGTGGGCTGGGCCCTCCCACATCACTCATCAAGAAGATGCCCCTCAGACATGACCACAGGCCAGTCCAATAGAGGCTCCCTCAACCCAGGTGTGTCAAGTTGACACTAAAGCTATCCAGCACACATGCATACACACATATATAATACATATACACACACAGGAAAAATAGAAAAAGAAAACACAGAAGATCAACCAGGGCTGTATAGTAAGACTCTGGGCCCCCCCTCTCCCCAATCATATATATTCCTGGTGTGAAGACACCAAGAATTAGTCCAGAAACGAGTCTAGTAGAATCTGTTCAACGTCTTTACCTTGCACTGCCTTTTGCCTTGTTTCTGTCTTTTCTATAACAGCATCATGATATTCTGAGTGTTAAAGAGCACTTTAATGGTGGGAGATGTAGTGTGAACGGCCAATGTCGTTAATGATGCTGGCAACCACCCCCTCCCACATGTCCCTGTCTGCACCCTCTGCGCTCCCTGTGTTGCCTTCCTTGGACTTGCCCATGAATTGCATTTTGTACTTAAAGACCGCCCTGCACAAAGGCCCGTTATCTACCTGAGGAGCCTGTATTCTAGATGCCCTGAGCCTTGGCTGCAGTCAGTATTCTGGTTCACTGTTATGGTTCTCAAAACAGTGTAATTTATGTCTCCCTTTTAAACTGGGGCTTGTAATTCTTTTCCCTGTTCACAGCATGCCCCGATTGGTCAACACCAGGTTCTTCGTCAGACTGGCTTGAGTTTTACAAGGTGTAAGAGCTATTAAATGATCTCACAGGATTCTTCACACTTGAGTTTATACTGGAGAATTATAGGATGATTAACTTAATGAGTGCCTAAGCCAAGTGTTGGGGGGAACAAACAATTCTTTGTAACTTGTGTTCTCAAAACCATGTGATTTTATAGATTTGTGTGAGTGTGTGTGCTGTCTAAATGATTACATAGCTTGTTAATTGTTCTAGTCTGTTTCTCCATTGCCATGACAAAATACTCTGGCCAATACCAACTTGGAGCGAAAAGGGTTTTTTTACAACTCCTAAGTCACAGTACACCCCTGAGGGAGCCCAAGGTAGGAACTCAGGGCAGGAGCCTGGAGGCAGGAGCTGGAGCACAGGCCATGGAGGAACACTGCTTACTGGCTTGCAACCCTACCCCTGCTCAACCTGCTTTCTTATACAACACAGGCCCACCTGCCCAGGGGTAGCACTGCCCACAGTGGGCTGGGCCCTCCCACATCACTCAATAATCAAGAAGATACCCCACAGACATGGCCACAGGCCAGCCCAATGGAGGAAATTCACCAATTAAGGCTCCCTCTACCCAGATGTGTCAAGTTGACAACTAAAGTCACCCAGCACGTTAAGTTCACCGTGCTGTACCAGAGGGTTGCAGGGCACCAAGAATGAAGACAGAAGGAGAGTAAAGAGGGCCCTTTAAGGGAAAGGAAAAACTAGCCCTAGCACATCTGATTGTACCATAACGTCCCCTTTGTTGTTCCATTTCAGAGCTGCCCAGAAGCTAAATCTGTCTTCTAAGAAGAAGAAGCACCGGCCTTCCACTTCCTCTGCCGCGGAGACACCCCTCTTTGCTACCAGCTTCAGCGGAATCCTGCAGACCTCACCTCCCCCAGCCCCACCCTGTCTCCTGAGGGCTGTCAACAAGGTGAAGGACACCCCAGGCCTGGGCAAGGTAGGTCCCCTCTCTTGCCTCTGCCATCCACTCAGGTCAGTGGGTGAGGTTCCTGGCCAGGTTTGCGAAAGAGAAAAATGATGTTGGGTTCCCATTTGTTTAAATGAGGAGGTGCTGGGGAGAAGAGGTAGCAGCGCCCCTTTATCCCAGGTTCCACTTTCTGCAGTTTTACTCACCCAGCAACCTTAGCCTGAAAATATTCATAGAAAATTCTAGAGTTAAACAACAAGCTTGAAATAAATGTTCCTGCAGTCAATTGTTATCGTTCTATCTTATTAGCATTGCTATTCTTTTACTGTGTCTAATTTTTAAATAGAACTTTATTATTGGGGGGAGGGCACATAGCATCTCTAAGATTTGTTGACTCCTGGCATCCATAGAATGTCTAGGGAACTAGGGAATGAACAATTTGTTTTGGATACATAAATTAGGTCATATATTAGGTTGGGATCTGATTTGATTTTGGTGAAGATAAAAATAGCTTTGCATTGTTGAGCAGAACTGTAGCCATTTCAAAAACAAAAAGACAGAAGCAGGAGGCTCAGAGAAAATTCCATGGGGGAATCAGATAAAGAAGACTGTAATTTTCCTGTAGGGTTTTTTGTGTGTGTTTTTTTCTTTGGTCTTTTTGAGACAGGGTGTCCCCATAGCCCCAGATGGCCTCGAATTCACTATGTAGACCAGATTGGTCTCGATCTTACAAAGATCTACCTGCCCGCCTTTGCCTCCAGAATGCTAAGATCAAAGGTGTATGCCACCATGCCTGGCCTCCTGTGGTACTTTTTATCTTTTCTCTCCTTTAAAGAAATACTGATTTATGTGTTTGAACTAGAACACCAGTGCTGATGTGACTTCTAGGGAGCATTTCAGTCTTGATTTTCTAGCCAAGAAATGCAATTTGGAGTTGGTACAGGATTTAGACATAGGGCAAGTCTGTTATAAGATGTTGCTAGGCCACATATATGATAACTTTTTTTTTTTTTTTGAGACAGGGTCTCTCTGTAGCCCCAGCTGTCCTGGAACTCACTATGTAGACCAAGCTGGCCTTGAACTCACAGAGATCCACCTGCCTCTGCCTCCCAAGTGCTGGGACTACAGGCATGTGCCACCATGGATAATTTTATTTTTAAATGTCAACTCTTAATTCTTTGTTTCCCCCAAATGAATGTCTGAGTGAAGCAATTTACAACTTAATCTTCAATGAGGAACAAGTTAAGACTTATAAAAGCAGCTGAAGAAAAAGTAGTGTTTTTTTCCTTTATTTTCATCAGCGTAGATAGTATATAGAACATGGGGCTTGACTTTGACCTTGGGCTTCATTTCGGGAAGTTGGGGGTCTTGCTGAAAGAGGCAGAAGTGAAGCTACGTAGATTGTGATTTTACTAATTCCTGTCCTTTTGACTTCCCAATGTGGTTGTGCCCTAGCTTACGATCTTCTGAAGACCCCACACCCTGCCCAGCTGTCTTTATTCCCTTCCCCTACCTCAGTTTCTCCTGGCTCCTACCACTTGTCCCCTACCTCCAGTCCAGGCCACTTCATTCAGAAGTCCTTAACTTCATGATGCTCTTCCCCAAATGAGGTTAGGTAGAGCAATGGTTATTGTAATAGAATAGCATCTATTCTATTATGTTTAATGTAATGTAATAAGCTAACCCTAACCCTGGAATTCTAAGACAAAAGTGTCAGGTAAGGGACCAAAACAGTGGAGAGAGTGCTTGTTGCCATCAGTGACCTAGCACTTGAAGAAAAAAGGCATAGGGGGTAATTTGGATTTTGCCCTATGTAGCACCTAGGTATAAGGGGCTTTCCAATGCATAGTCATGCTGAGTAGTAAAGTTATCAAATCATATATTTAAGTATTTGAAATTAAAGGCATTATCTCACATACGCACACTCATTTGCAATTCAGAAGTGCATCAAAGACCTGCATTTGCAATGGAAATGGGCATGGGTGATGGTTTGACTTCTCTCTGACCAGTGACCACAGGTCAGCTGAGTATTCCCTCCTGCTCTGATGACCCTTGGTGGGACAGTGGTGGGGAGGAAGTGTACAGTTGGAGGGGAGGGTGTTTTCTGAAAAGTAGCAGTTGGAATATGCTCATTAAGTCAAAACCACAGCCAAGGCACCCCTGCTCTGTCTGCCTCCCAGGATGTCACATCATCTTTAAGAACCGCAGCTCTCTATCCATGTGAGAAAATTCTCATCCATTTGTCTCTGTTGCATAATTTACATTTTAATATCTCAAAGAAATATAGTGGAGTTTAATATACAGCATAAATAATTGGTGCTATTTATAAACTAGTATGGTTGAAATAGATGAACTTCATTGAATTGTCCAAAGCCACTTGATGTTCTAAGTTCTAAGCCTGAGCTGGTGCCTCTGGAGTGAGGCTGGAGGAACACAGTGGTTCTAACATAAGAAGTGGTTCCAAAGGTGAATGCCTAGTCCAGCTACCCAAACTCCACCCTCTGGAAAGTCAGGAGGTTCTGCAGGTGGGGAAGGGACTTCACAAGATTCACAGAGCACCCTCTTATGTGAACAAGAAAACTGAGGCCCAGAGAAAGGATGGGGTTTCCAGCCGTTTCAGCATTAGGATGGAAATCATAACTTTAAGCTGCTGTATTCTCTCCTATATCACTGGGCTGTCACTAGAGACTCATCACCCTTTAAACTTGTAGATGCAAACAAGAGGTCCATGGAGACACAGTGATTGTGAAATAACCATGGGAACTTGTTGCCTTCATCCCATTGAGAAGGACAGACATCCTTTCCTCTCCAGAGTCATAGGTGAGAGAGAAAGGTAATTGTAGTCAACAGCAGACAAACAGTAAGATGGATAGTCTGTCCATGCTACCCCTCCGCTCCCCACTCCCTGCTGCCTTCAGCACCATTCTGCTCCCCCGCGCCACCCCAAGGACTAACACTAGCCACTAAGTGCTTCTTGAGGCAAAAGCTTTAGTGGAGGCCATGGTAACAGAAGGAGATGAGAGAATTCCAGTTTTCTTGGTGCTGAAGTGCAGCATACCAACAGACACGTGGGCTCCACCTCAGCATCCTCAGCTCCTAGAGCAGCTCCTGGCACACAGCATCTACTGTGTGCAGCGATGGGCAGAGTTGAATGCCTGTCCTCATAGAACTGACATCTAGTGCCTTCTTCCAGGAAGTGAGAAATAGCATCCAACGAACCAATATGAGCAACACTGACCTAAGGAAAAGTCAGAATCCATCCTAGATTTAAGATGACTCTAACTTCCCAGGTATACAAAGAAATGATTCTACTAAATGGCCTTGTAGAGACATTCTTAATGAACAGATACAGATGATTAGTGGCTCATAGTGGCTTAGTCCCTGTTTATATTTCATTGATTTAGCTTATATGTAAATGATACTTGTAATCTGTTTGAAAATGGTTCCTTCTCTCCTAAGTAAATGGCTCTTTGTGAAATCTGTTTGCACAATTAATTAATAGGCATGTTTAAGGTTCATTTGTTATGGTGTCACAGCTTAATGTCAGAGCTCTCTGTCTTGGGCTGCGAGTTTCTAGAGCAAAGTCTGCTATCTGTTTAACTCATGAAGTTTTTGGCCCTGTAGCCACAGCATACATGCAAACTTACCTTTAAAGGGGAGGATAGGAATAGCCATCGCCATAATGGATTGGTGACAGTCTACCTGGAGTTTTGTTCAGTCTGTTTACCCAAATGAATATCTGAAGGATGAGGAATAAAGGGAACAAGAGGCTTCCTTTCCCTCATAGTCCCCAGGAATGCCTCAAAAGAGTGACCATCCTCAGTCAACACCCACCCTCTCCCCCTCTCCCCAATATGTTTTAGGAATATTGGAAATTTGCTTTCAGATTCTAGTAGCAAGAGAACAGATCCTGTAGGATTTGAGAAGATTGTAAAGAAAAATTGGATGAAGCTAATATGAAGAGGAATTGTGGGAAACTGAGCCAGGCACAGTTCAAGGTGGACTTACCAGACTTGATTTAGTCTCTGTAGAGACTTTCTGTCTTCTGGGTTCTATAGTAGGTGCCACTGATGGGTGCGGGACACAGAAGGTGGTTGGCTGCCCAGGCCTCATTACTGCAAAGGAAAGGGAAGGTCAATGCCCATCTCCACAAACTCCAGGCACTCATGACAAAGACTGGCACTCAGTCTTAGCACCCACACCAGAGTTATGTCCAGTCCAGATACTATATCCTCCTTAGAATGATGGCCACCTAGCCTAATTTGGTAATAGATGGGCTTCATTAAGAGTGGATGCCTATCACTAGTCATGCCTATTCACCTGTGACTCTAACAGGCTTCATTGAGAGTCCTCCTCTGAGGGCAGTACAGCCCAAATACAGGCAATTTAGTGGAGGTATGGAATTATGCCTTAGAAATGGACTTGCTTGTCTGGCCAGATTATCTTTCAGTGTAATAAAAAGGCTGGAGCCATTTCCACATTCTCTATAGTCTTCCATTTTAAGTCATCCATCTCTTACTTGGCATTATTTTTCAAAACTAGTGACAGCATATTTTGACCTCTAGTAAAATATTCTCTCTCTCTCTCTCTCTCTCTCTCTCTCTCTCTCTCTCTCTCTCTCTCTCTCACACACATACAGACAAGACACACACACACACACACACACACACACACACCCCTTGCTTGGCTCATGTCACCAGGTACCCTGTTGTCTCAGTTTAGTTTGAATTCTAAACTTTCCTTTGTTTTTGTATAAACTAATAGCACAGAAAATAAAAGAAAGAACTTCCAGTGTGTTTTTATAGAACTCTTTTGTGCATTTATTAATATTTTCAGAGTAGAAGTCCTTCAATGACTGAATCCTTGTCACACTGTATAGAAAATTCCTGTGCAATAAATGTCCTGATTACAATGAGAGGACAGCAATAAAATTCTGAAATTAAAGTAAGACTTTTCCAAAGGTGCTAATGTAGTTTTTTACTTAACAAGGAGAAATGGCAAGTACAGCTCTCTCTTGTTCAGGAAGTGGT